ACTCTTCTTATATTAATCATGGCTTTACCTATTCAATTAATGGATATTAATTTTTATCTTGTATTCTATCATTATGGTTCTATTCTACCATTGAAACCAATTATGTGTCTTTTCTGGTGGTTCGCTGATTATGGTTGTTATAATGGATGCATTATTCTGATGGCTTGGTTAGCCATCGAACGACATATTTTGATCTTTCATGATCGACGGCTTTCAAATCGAAGAGGACGGTTTCTTTTTCATTACTTACCGTCGATTAGTATAGTGACATATATTCTTCTATACTATATTATCTGTATTTTCTTTTTACCCTGTGAAAATACTTATATTTATACATTGCCAGTGTGTGGTACTTCACCATGTTATCAATCGGATGGTGCTCTTGGTTTGTGGGACTTTATTATTAATACTACCACACCAACTATTTTAGAGAGTATTGTGAGTATCGGTCTTGTTCTACGTGTTCAATGGCAAAAACGACGACTTCGTCAGTCTAATCAATGGCGTAAACAACGGCGAATGATTATTCAATTGTTCTTGGTTTCAGGCCTAAATCTGGGTCTAAATCTTCCATTATTTATATTACTTTTTGCACATTTCTGCGGTCTCCCATCGGAATATGGTGCTGAACCTCAACTTTATTTCTTTTTTTTTGGTTATTTCGTTTTTTTTCTCTTTCCATTCGCATCTTTATGTCAATTTCCAGATTTGCGTAAAAAGATCACAAGAAAAATAGTTTATATACTACCAAGACAGCAACACCATACAGCTATTGTTGTGCCTACAACGAGAGCTACACCAATGAATAAATCGACTTGATCTAATTCAACAAATAACATCTTATTTAACAATTCGATTTCAAAGACGATGAAGAAAGTGTGATATTTTGAAGTATTGGAATCAGTTGATGTCACCGTTTACTTTTGTGCATTCTTCTGTGTGTTGTCTCGTTCGTATATCGTTTTGACACATTTAAATATAACTATATTCTATATAACTTTATATAGTTGATGTTCTGTTTTAATAAATCGAATAATTGTAATAGTTACATTCTCTTATCTCCATGCATAACAATTTCATAATAAACCTTGTATAGAGGATGTATATAAAGCGGCTTGTGTTGCAATAGAATACTCACAACAAAATTGAAAATACTTCAATTCTCATTAAAACTGAAATTATCCTTCATATTGTCTTATGAGTCCATCTTGACGGTGTGAGTGTGGGTTTGAACGACGGTGGGTGGCTGCTGATATCAGCACGATCTAGATACCTACACTCTCAAGATGTACTTTTTTTTCAAGTTTATCTTTGTCATCTAAATAATGGTTACATACAGGCTTTCAATCAACAGAATACAGCAAGAAAAATGATAAGAACTAGGTAAAACGTTTTTTTTGAATTTCATGTCTATTAATTCACGATGACGAATTATGTTATCAACCTGGGTAATTCAGTGAATATTGATCAATAACAAATATGACTATACACGTTTTTACTTCATCAAAGAAGATAGAACACCTATTGTTTGTGGCTATATCGATGTTTATCAAAGATATAACAACATCTCACCAGTTTACTTTTTTTGTCCTTCATTTGTTGTTTTTCATAGTAATAAGATAAAACATTTCAAACGAAGGTAGACACCTATAAAAAGAATCATTTTTCATCATTACCTCACTAATAAATTTTACACAATAATTCCAATTCAAACAATTCGTGCAGTCAATAATGAGCAAAGGAAAATCAACAACAAGCACATCTGAAGTTTCGAAAGGTGCAGAAGGTCGTCGGCATATCAATGTTCGACACATGCAGAATGTTCTTCTAATCTGGTTAGATAGTAACATTGACGAAACAAATGACGATTGCCAAGATACAATCACAAAATTACAATGTGTTGTTAACGACATCAATACATTTACCGATGGCGATCAATGCATTGAATTTATTGAAGCCGCCATCGATAACAAAGTATGTATGATCATATCCGGGTCACTTGAACAACATATTGTGGCTCGTGTGCACAATATGTCTCAAGTTGATTCGATTTTTATTTTTTGTGACAACCAAAAACATCACGAACAATGGGTCAAACACTGGCCTAAAATAAATGGTGTTTTCACAGATATTACATTCGTCTGTGAAGCACTGAAGGTAGCTGCTTATCAATGTGAACAGAATGCTATTCCCATGAGTTTCGTGGGAACAAATAAAAAATTGGATCAATTAGATCCTTCTTTTATGTACACCCAAATTATCAAAGAAATCTTATTAACCATCACATTCAAACAAGATCACATTCAAGATTATCTTACTTACTGTCGTGATACTTTTGAAGGTAATAAAAAACAAATTGAAAACATTAAACGATTAGAAGATGAATACCACAACAAAACATCAATTTATTGGTACACCTGTCAAATGTTCCTCTATCCCATGCTCAATCATGCATTACGATTGATGAATGGTGATATCATTATACACATGGGTTTCTTCATTGGTGATTTGCATCGACAGATTGAACAACTGCACCGGGATCAATATCATGACACAACTTCTGCTAACACCCTTATCGTGGTCAAGGTTTATCTACAGGAGATTTTGAAAAAATGAGCAAAATTAAAGGTGGTCTTATTTCATTCAACAACTTCTTATCTACTACTAAAGATCGTGAGGTTTCCTATGCGTTTGCAGAAAGTAATCTAGCCAATCTGAATTTATTTGGAATACTTTTCGTTATGAAAGTAGATCCCTCTCAATCAACAACACCATTTGCTTCCATTACTGGTATCAGTGATTTCGAAGAAGAAGATGAAGTCTTATTTTCCATGCATAGCGTATTTCGTATCCAAGATATTAAACAGATGGATGGAAATAGTCGTTTATATGAGGTTAATTTGACACTTACTGCTGATAACGATCCAGAACTGCATAGACTTACTGATTACATTCGACAGGAGAGTTTTCCAAACGATGGAGGATGGTACAGATTGTGTTCGGTACTAATTAAAATGGGTCAATTTGACAAAGCTGAAAGCATTTATCAAGTTTTACTTGATCAAAACAAGAATGATAAAGAGAAGACAACTATTTATCATCAACTTGGTGTGATTAAACAGGACCAAGGAAAATATCAAGAAGCACTTACATTCTATGAAAACTCACTTGCTATAACCTACAATAACATTGGTTTAGTGCATCGTATCATGGGTAATTATCCAAAAGCCCTTTCATCTTATGAAAAAGCTCTTGAAATTCAGCTACAATTACTTTCTTCCAGTCATCCTGATTTGGCTCCTTCTTACAACAACATTGGTGTGGTGCATTCTAACATAGATAATTATCCAAAGGCACTTTCATTTCACGAAAAAGCTCTTGAAATTCAACTGCAATCACTTTCTCTCAGCCATCCTGAGTTGGCTCCTTCCTACAACAACATTGGTGTGGTGCATTCCAACATGGGTAATTATCCAAAAGCACTTTCATTTCATGAAAAAGCTCTACACATTCAGTTACAATCACTTTCTCAGAGTCATCCTGATTTGGCTCCTTCCTACGACAACATTGGTGCTGTGTATGAAAACATGGCTAATTACGCAAAAGCCCGTACATTTTATGAACGTGCTATAAAAATTGGAGAACAATCATTACCTTCAAATCATCCGAAGCTTCAAAGATATAGGAATAACCTCGAACATGTAAGAAACAAATAATAAATGGTATTGTTATGAATTTTTTTTATAAAAATAAGGAAAAATGAACTTGAGGGTGGGGGTGTAAGTATTCGTTGGTAGTGAAAATAATGCTATTATTTGCCATCGATACCATAATTTTCAAAACGCCGTATTGTTATTCGAAAAATTGTAATAATGATCCCTGAAGATCATTATCAAAGTACGAATATTACATTTAAATGAACTGAAGCAACAATTTAAGAAATATTTTTTGATGAAAACTACCAACAGATTATTTTTAAATTATATTATTATTCTTTATTGTCAATACAATCAATTATTTATCAAGAAACTACACATAACAACATTCAAGACTGTTTCAACAATATAAGCATATATATTAAAATAGTGAGCAAAGCGTGTTTATATTAAGCATTAATATAGTTTATCGACTGAATAATTATTCATTAGGAGTAATTGTATTATTTTGACATCGTTTAAGTATATTAAATATTATTTTAGTAATAAATGGAATAATAAATCGTAAAGCAACAATTAATCCTCCATATAAACCTAAAATTTTCGATGAAGTATAGATAATGTAATGATCTTTTTGAGTTTTATAAGAACAATAATTAGGAGCACATTGATTATAAAAGAATGAATAATAACTATTAGTTTTCCATTCTTCAATAAATAATTCATCTGCTATAGTTTCAATCACTGTATTTGTTTTAAAACGACTTACAACTGAAGAATTAATAGCTGATATATTCATTTGATAAGGATATCGATTTACAACAGTTCTCATATAATATAATAATAAATCAATACATGTTTGATTATATAAGCATTCAAATGTTGAGTATAATAACGTGTCTACAACTGAACATCCAATATGCAATCCAGGCATTGCAAATTCTTGGCGATTAGTTGTATCAGAATAAATTCCTCCTGAATCAATACAATCACTTTGTGTTCCACATGAACATCCATTTTCCATTATTATTGGACTAATTGGAATTATTGGAGAAGT